TAGTTAGTTAGAGAGTTATCAAAAATGTTAACAGGTGGAAGTAAGATGAAATAATTTGTCATAGAAGAAAACAAAATTAACAGCAAATAATTTTAGCCAATAAATCATTTAAATTACAAGAAAAATCGCTGCAACTTTTTACAAAAATTGATGACTTTCAAATTTGCTGACAAAAATAATGCAATACAATGAGAGTAATATAATTATTTTACATTTTCAATTAATACGAAAAATAATTATTTAAATATACCTAATTACTCACGGAGGACTAAAAGTGTAAGTTATCATATTTGTATTACTTCAAATGAAAAATAACTTTCAACCATTGCATATTTTTATTAGGTGCCTAAATTATTTATTAAAGCACTTTTATAGTTTAAATTTTCATTGTAAGCAATAAAGAAAATCAATGAGTATTAATAAGAAACATAGATGCCTTAGCTACAATTAAGTCAGTAATGTCATATTTAGCATTTATATATATGTGTGTATAAATTCATAATTAAATTTCTTAGTTTGCAATTGTTCATATTTTGGAGAAAACAAATGCATTAAAACGAGATAGATAGATAGATAGATAGATAGATAGGTAGATAGATAGATAGATAGATAGATAGATAGACAGATTGATTAATTCGTTAAATTCGTTAAATATTGTCAATTGATTGGTATACAATTCGAGCGAGAAAGTACTTCCTTTGTTTCAATCAAAGAGTAATAAAAATGATTTTTTTCTGTCAGAGTCAACAAAAGTTGAAAAGTCTTTCTGTGAGAAAAGCAATACAAATCATTTCTTTCAAATGCAAAAGTATTATGGCAAATATTCATTCTATATTCTGCACATTTGAAAGTAATAAAAATAAATAATAAAACTGAAGTGAATAAATCTCTATTTCAATACATATAAAAACAGTTTATGCATAGATAACAAAAACAAGGAGTGCAAGTGCAAGTGCGAGTGCAAGTGCAAGTGCAAAACAAGACAAGACTTGTTTGGTTAAATGTATGAATGAATAAATTTTTGTAAGGAAATTACTCAGAAGCAATGATACTTAATCAATTACTTGATAACTTAATAAAAAATGCTGCAAAAATAACGGAAATGAGTAGTGGAATAGAGTTTCATTTACGATAGTTTTTTTTAAAAAAATAAATGGTTAAAGTAAGAAATTGAATTTAGGCTGTAAAAATGTGGGCATAAGTTGTTGTTAAAAGAGCAGAAAGGCCTAAAGAAGGAAAATTTTGAATTCTTTTTATGCGTTATTTATTCCTTTCAAAAAATGAAAGAAATGAAGGAAAAAACTTGCAAAAGTAAACTTTTTTTTTGCATACATTTTTAGTGCCATTTTTACATATAAAAATCAGTCCCAATCGTTTTCAAATAAGCGCATAATGTATGCAAAACTTTCTTCAAGACAAGTAAGTATTCCTGTTGAATATTTTAATTCCTTAGTCAAGTATTTCCTTCCAAAACATTAATGCGTATTCTTCCGTAAACTTTTTCAACTACTTCATTCATTTAGTGCAATGTTTGAGATTTTTGTTATAGTAAAGTTTCGTGTTGACATTTTTTGAATACTTTTTGCTAGAATAAATAATACATATAAAAAGAGATGCACGGCAATAACTAAGTATTAATTTGCATTTTAAGTTTAATAAAACAAAAGTATAAACGAACTACTAAATACACGTTTACTAAATAATTATTCAAATGTTAAAAATTATAGCAAAGAAATACACTTCAAATCAAATTAAGTATGCTTAGTGCAAAATTTCATTGAATGATTTTATTCATTTCAAAGATAAGCAAATATTTGCAAAATGAAAGATTATTCAAATCAGTTACTTTAGTTGTGATTAAAAAAAATGAAAATAGGTAAGTAATGCTATGAAAGCATATCATTACAACTTATTTACATAATTTCTACTTGACTAATATTCATCGAGGAGTTGCAGCACAAATACCAACTAGTTTTGCATCTCTCATTAAACGAACATGAAATTTTGACTGCAACTAGCATAGTGATGTTTGTTGTTTTGCTAATTGCCAGCAACAACAACCTGATTTTATAGCTGTCAGTTGCTGTTATTTTTATCACTGATATTCATACTATTAATGTCGCCATTTTCTTATCAATTATCAGATGGAACGTTATTTAGCTCTAATCTTTTATCATTTAATCTTAGCAGTATTATCAGTACATCATATCAAAAAGCTAAAATCTGTTTAATAGCATATTATCCAACATTCCTCTAATTAGCATGTTTTTTAACTTTAATTCTATCATTATAGTCATTTGTTAATAAGATGTCACAATTGAGCTTTGCATGAAATACAACTTCTCAGCATGTTAAAAAGCAGATTTTATTATTTTTATTAACAACAGTGATAATGGCTAGATAAATATTCAGATTTAATCAGTACATTGGATACACTTATTTTAACTTTTTTTGAATATGCAAATTTCTATCACGAAAATATGATGAAAAAATAAATAGCAAAATAAGCAAAATAATTCTAATAAGTGTATCATCCATTCTTAAGGAAAATCACAAAAGCAATATTGGGTATTTTTATATAATTTGTGATGGATGACCTTGCCAGATGTGAAATAGCCAATGTGTGACTGGCACCATCAGCAAAGGTCACATCACGTCTTTCCTTTCAAATTTCATTACTCCATATGGGGTACACTTGAAAGAGAGCAGCACAACAGTCGACCAAATTCAAATTTCTTTTTTCTTTCCAAAAAATTTGAAAATTACAATTTGAGTTGAAATTTTTTTAGTTTACCAATACTGCTTTTTTTTATTATTTGCATTTTTCAAAAATAACTGTTCAACTAGCGTTAGCATTCGCATCTGTCAAATATTTTGTATTCAAAATTACAAAGTTGGCTTTAAGTTTGAAAAAGTTAAGATAATAATTTGACAGATCACCTTTAAGTACTGCTATACTGTTTAGATTTTAATTTATTACTTAAATGTGAGAACCAACTCGAATCCAAGATCAAAATCTGATCTGCGGTTTATTTATTTCATCAATAATGGTGGTAAGACTTGAGATTATCAATGCTTTAAAATGAGAGACTGAAATCGTTAAGAAAAGTGTTGTCAAGAAAAATGTAAAAATTGAAAAAAAGTTCTTGAAAATTTGTTGGAAAAAATTATAGGAAATTAATTAATTGCTCATTGTAAGATAAATTATAGAATGAAATTGTATAACTTGAGCGAAATGAAATAAAAACTACAAAAATGGTTTTGTGTGGTAAAAATTTTAATTACATCAGAAAGTAAGTGATCACATTTGAATTTGTATTAATTTTCTGACCTTCGCAGTGGCTAACTGATTTTCTTGCCTTAATCAGTACTAAGATTAATTTATTTTGAAAAACAATCTAAGAAGCTTAAGTATGGAGGATCAAAATTTGCATTCTAATAAGTAAAACAAAACTAAACTACTTTGCATCTTTAAATAAGAATAATTTTGTGGATACCTCATATGATAGATGAATTCAATAGCTAAGCATATACTTACTTGACAATTTTCTTATTAAGTAGTGATCCTTCAAGGATAATATTTTCTATTAAAAATACAAAATTAATTAATTAAAAAAATAAGTCACAATGGATATATTTTCAGATTTATTTTGAATTTTCGAGTTTCAGCAGTTTTTACGATTATAAATACAACAGCAATAAATATAATTTTTATCCAGAAATTGGTTTAATATTTTTTTTACAAGAAAAAAAGATTTCTAAATGAAAAAAAGCCAAGTTTAATGGAATGCAACGTAGTTCAAAATACTTTTTAATAAAAATAATTAAAAAAAATAGAACAGACAATAAAAGCAATTATTAAAAATATGAACTCACCAAATGAGCACAAAATTACAAATAAAGCAAAAACTATTCACATAAACTTTTATTTTATGTTTAAAAAAGGAATTCATTTATAATCAGTTTAAAAATTGACGTACAGTAGAAATGCAATTATTTTCTGAAGAAAATTGCACTTATACCAATTCAGTCAATCTATTTGGCGACGAATTTATTGAGAATAAGACAGACTTCAAAGCTATTCTCTACTTGCTAGAAGCTAAATAGCAGAAGAATAAAAAATGAACTAACTATTAAAAACAAAATCACAAATGTATGCAAAAAATTTGTGATGATATGATGTGGTACGAAAATAATTGCCTATCATTACATATGCAAAAAATGACTACTTATTTAAAAATAAAATCTATTCTTCTCATAAAGTTCAATACAAAAAATAATAATTGTTACTGTATTGACTTCTGATTATTACTGACAACGTATTTGTATTTGACAATTATATTTTGTCTTCAGCAATAAAGAATTAAAATACAAAATGTATAAAATAATTTTTAATAATTAAAAATTTTCGAAGTCATTTCTTACAATTAACACTTGGATACTTTCACTAATGAAAATGATTTGATTTTTTTTCAATTCTGATATTGAATTTATGTATTACATTTTTGATTTCACTTTTCATTACTGCTTTTTTTCACCACAAAATCAAGTATGCATTTGTCATCTGTTTATCAGCAAAAAAAAGATTCAGTTATCACGTCATTCCAGATCAAAGTCGACATTACGCCATGACGTAACCACGTCTACAGAAAACTCACAGCGATTGGCGGCTTGACATGAAAATAGGCCTGCATTTCGTGCAATGAATGCCAACAGGTTCTTGCTCAGTGTGCAACCAACATGCATTTCCGAGTTGTATCCTTTTTTGTTTCACGAAAAATCACGCTTGTAGCTTGTGTCTTATGAATAATATTATGAGTATGGCCAGAAATTTTTAGTTTTAAAAACAATTAATAAAATTATTTTTTTCATTACTTAAAATTTTTGTTCTGAATTGTACTCTTCAATGTGTAGTGATGTACTTGAAAGATTTTCAGATTTTATTTTCTGTATTAATTTCGATGTTTCACTGATATGTTGACGAATGGTTTTGGTTTATAATGGATCGATCGAAAGTATCGCGTAAGTTGCGTAAATGTTTGCAGCAACTAGCAAAACACGATCCGGATGTGAAAGTTTCATCTACGCCAACAAAAGTGAGAGCTCATTTTAATTCTGAGCACTTTGTATGTGACACAACATGTCTTTATACATTTTCTAAATAATAAAGCATTTAATTATCAACATAAGTGTCATTATTTTTCAGTATTTATTTGTTATTTTTCCGCTATTTATGCCCTTTCGAAAATCAAATAATTTGCGCAAAAGGATGAAACTCTTAAGTGAATTGTAATTAAGACAGAAAAAATATTAGCAAAAGCAATTTAATTGTATCATCGCAAATTAAAATTTTTGTACTTAGTTTTCTAAATTCGAAGTCATTGAAGTTGTACAGTAATGTAAAAAGTATGAAATTCAAATTCTGGATCGTTAATGAGTAATGCAATTATAGAGTATGAACCAAGCTAAGCTTCTTTTTCATTCGGTAAACACAGATTAAATTAAATTAATTTCAAATGGCTAGATCATTAGACATCAAATTCTTTGAAGGAAAAACGAATCTAGCGATTCTAGAATTTAATTAAAATTGACTGCAAGCATAACTTTATTTTTCTGATTATACTTATAAGATATTGTCTTCATAGTTTTTTAAAATAAATAATCATTCTCCAGTGATAAATAAGCATGCTTTTGGTATTGAAATTATCGGTTGATGAAGTTTAATACATGCACTGTGGTAAACTTTTTACCTTAGTTTTAAATTTCAGATATTGTTTGTTGCAAACAGCAGTCCATTATGTGGGATTTCATATGATGACCTAGAAAAAGTATTCCATTCATTTGATGAAGGTTGCTGTGATTTTATTGTATTTCAAACGCAGCGTCCTTATTCTTTCGTTATTTTTCGTACCATAGAAGCCGCTAAGTTAGCATATAAAAATCTTCATGGACAAGTACCTCAAGAATTTGGCCATAATGGTTTAGCGCTATATATTTCATTTGTTGAAAACGGTATGCTTTGTTTTTTGTGCAACAGGTTTGAATATCGTCTTGAAATCAGAAATTTTATGATTCTTCAGTGTGGTGCAAATATTTTAGTGCCTGAAGTTAAGAATGTTGAATCGCTTTGTAAACCAAACGATTTGCGTCTTTTGCTGAATTTTATCAATGATGATGAAGAAGCAGCTCTAATATCTTTTATTCAAGATTACTTACCAACGGGAAGTAAGCAGTCATTTCTGTTATGCGGAATAATTTAAAGAAATTATGACTTTTTTGTCGGATAAAATGAGTATATCAGGTACTCTCAGACATTATGTCTTTGTCTTCGAAATTTCAGTAAAAAATCCTATGCCTAAAGTTGCACTCCATTACATGCTACATTACTTTGTCAAGTTAAAAATATCCTACTCATTCTGGAGCAGAACTTTCAGAAACATTGAAAAGTCGCAAAGTTATTCATTTTGGTTTTGAATTTAATTATGATATTAATGTGGCTGAGGAGCCATCACCAAATTCAATGCCAACAGTTTGTGAAGCTATAATTGACAAGATGCTTAGTGCTGGACTCTTCCAGGAAAAACCAGATCAGTTGACAGTTAATGTCTATGAGCCTGGTAATGGCATACCATCACACATTGATACTCATTCTGCATTCACTGACACTATTGCTTCATTGAGTTTGATTTCAGGTTCGCTTCATTGTTTGTTGATTTTTGGGAATATTTCAAAAAATTTGATGTTTATCATCAATAATGCGAAATCATTTGGAAATCGTAAAATTTTAGATATCGTTATGGAATTCCGTGATTTGGCAAATACGTCAGCAGTGTACGATGTTCTGCTTCCACGTTTAAGTTTGGTAGTTATGCAAGGTGAATCGCGATATCGATGGAAACATGGGTGAATATTTTTAGGCATTCAAAAATAAATAAATAAAACATGTATTGCTAGTATAGAAGAGTATTCTCAAATCAGTATATATGCACTCATATAAGCAGAAATTCAGAAAAACCAACCTGTTTGAAGCCTTTATCAGAAGCCATATTACTTTATTTATTGAAATTTTGTAGCATTGCGAAACGAAAATACGATGTGAATCCTATCACAAGTAAATTGATGCGGCGACAATGTAGAGTTTCGTTTACGTTTCGAAAAGTATTGCGAGGAAAATGTCAGTGCTCATTCACCGAATACTGTGATTGGGACCGTGATGGATTAATGAAAGTTCCTGATAATGATGAACGTGGCAGAGAAATCGAGAAGCAATATGTTTCTTTAGTAAGCCTAGTGTTGTAATATTGTATTTCTTATTTTGACTAACATGCCAGTAAGAAGACGGTTTTATTTTTTTAAGGTTTATGAATGTATTGCTGATCATTTTGACACAACGCGGCATGCTCAGTGGAATGGTGTTGCCAACTTTCTGAAACGCTTGGAATCTGGAACTATAATTTATGATATTGGTTGCGGAAATGGAAAATATCTCGTACTGGATGATGAATTTATCAAAGTACTTTTTTAAAGCTTCATGTGACATTCAAGAAATATATTAAATTCGAATACAGATACGGTAATGAAAATAATTAAAAAGGTACAAATGCATCTTTGATGTTTGCTCTTCGCAAAATCTTAGTCGACTGATTCATATATAAGATTACTATGTTGCAGATTGGTAGTGATTTGAGCAACAGTTTATGCTTGATTGCTTACAGAAAAGGTTGTAGTGTGTTGCGTGCGAATATTTTAGCACTACCATTTAAAAGTTCAAGCGCAGGTGCAGTTTTGTGCATCGCCGTCATCCATCACTTGACCACAAAGTTAAGAAGGTATCTTTTGTAATTTTATCAAGAACACATTTCATTCATTTTCATTGCATTCCTTCATTTATATTTAGCTTAAAATAAATCTTTATAATCATTAAGATCAGGGCTCTTAAAATGCAATTGTTTCAACACTATAAATCTTGTTAGTAATGTATTTTGCACAGTACGTTAAGAGATTTGTTTAAGGATTCGCGCGATTCAAGAACTAATCCGAGTTTTGGAACCAGGTGGACGAGCATGTATTACCGTTTGGGCATACGAGCAAGCTTTGTCTAATGAACCTTCTGAATATTTGAAGATGCGACGAAAAAAACGTAACGTGCAGGTTACAGTCTTCTTTAATCATTATTCTTGAATTTGCGTATATCAGATAGAAATAAAATTATCTGTATTTCTCATGGCTTATGAAGTAGCTGAATTCTGTGAAACCTAAATAGATTTGTTTGAAAAAACAAAAAAAGTGCTTTCGTTGAAAAAATGAAACTTGCAAGAAATATCAAAAGCAGGGATGGTGATAGCGCAAATATTTCAGAAGGTTTCAGCATCATTGTGGTTTCTACATTTTATTTGTGCGAAACGAACTTTCAAAAACTAACAGACATTTTACTCTCCAGTTATATTATTATTCTGTTAATTTGTTTTTTAACAAATTCCAACTTTTTCATTTAAAAAAAAAGTTGTCTGTGTTGTGATTTATATCATGTTTTACTGTTTTTAAAGCTTTAAAAAACTCGGCACACTGTATTCGTTTATAGCAATGAATTGTATTTTATAGATGAATCGCCGTGACAGCAATGGAAGGCTGAGGGTTCATGAAGGCAGAGAATTTACTCAATCAGATATGCTTGTCCCTTTTCAAAATTCTGATGGAAAACGGTTTTTAAGGTATTTCTGTTTCGCATCTCGAAACTTTGCATCCCTAATCACATAATATGTTTGCTCTTAGTGCAAAAAAAAACTCAGATGTGTTTGATAGTCATGGTGATATAAATTCAATTCAACTGAGCAAATAGTAAATTATTTTGGTTTCTGATTACTATGTTTCCAGTAGTGTCAGACAAACCAGTGGATGGAATTGTTGAGGATTGACAGTAAGGATGATATACAAGTTATAATGTCATTTAATGCTGAAGTTTAAGTTTCAAACTTATAGCACCGCATCATAATATGCATTGTGATTGTCATAATTCAGGTACTATCACTTATTTCGCGATATTGAACTTGAAGAATTGATCAATGAGGTCAGTGGTTGCGCAGTTGATGAGTATTTTTATGAACAGGGAAACTGGATTGCATACGTTAAAAAAATATAGATTGAAGTGTTCATGTAGAGGCGTTTTAAAATTCTAATAGTCTATACCGTTCCTATTTATTTAAGTCTACTCACTTTAACTGTGGTTTCTGTCGTATGTCTAGCTGTTTTTGATATTATGTTGAAAAGCTTATTTAAGAGATCACGGGTTAAAATATGAAACTCAAAAATGAACTCTTTTATGGCTTCAAATTTATTATCTATGTGATTATTTCATTTGTTGTCGAATCTAATTTTGAATTTTCTGAGCTAGTTAAATTGAACTGAAATTTCTTCTGTGTGAATATCAAAGGTGCAGAAATATTTTTACATATCCGTACTAGCCATTTTCTTAGTCTCTATAATCAAGATTCCAGCTTCATTAATGCACTACTTTTGAGATTATTATATTTGTTTTCGTTTTTCTTTCCGTTAAGAGTTATTGGTAATATAAATAGTAATAGATGCATTAATGATAGAATTTTGTATTAATGTAATTCTGTTTCTGTCAGTATTTATCTAGAAATAACCACATATATAATGAACTTCAATACGAATAGTTATAGAAGAAATAAATTAATCAATGATGAACGTGATATATGCAGTGTTTGAAATGACAATTACTTAGGTTATTAGCTTGGCTCAATAAAATTGTAATTTTCTGTAACAGTGATGAATATATATTTTAAATAAACTGTAATTATTATAAAAAAGATGTGAGAAAGTTAGTTATTTTCAGTTGCTGTGAATAAAATTTTATTTCATGATTACTTCCTAAATACAAGAGTTTGATTAATTGCAGCCTTTTAAAAATGGTGCAAAATAATACATATTAAGTTGTCAATCGGTTTTGCCATTTCTGGTATTGTATTTTGCTCATTTCTTTCCTATCAGCACGTGCTGCACGTCTTTGTTAGGCACTGTGAGAACTATTAATTCACCTTGTTGTTTATAATTCTTATCATTCTGTAAGTAATTTACTAGTGTTTTGCATTTATATTGGACAGCTCTTTCGTAGTGTGTAAATTTTTATAATTTAATAAGTGACTTATATGTGTTTTGAAATATATGGATAGAAGTATGTAGATATAAGATGAAACGTAGATATGATAGCATTGATTAACTTTAGGTATTTAAAGTTAGAGAATGTTAGATGAAAAGTATTGTTATAAAATATTTTGTTTCCATCTTTCACTTTTTGTATATTGGTAGTGTAGAATTTAAGCTGAATCTTGGTTGCTTATTATTGGAAGTAAAAAAAGTATACAAATAAAGTATTCCAGTTGATGACAGGTTGTGGTTGAAGTTCTGCTTCCGTTTCTAAGCCATATCGAGCTTTAATTTTTTGCAGTCTAACAGCAAACTCATCTTCTGACAACTTTTGCATGGTCTGAAATTACTGATTTTGTAATATAAAGAAGATAGATTAAATTGCTTACGATGACTGATTAGAAAGATTCTGATGGTTTTAAACTGTTCTTGTACTTGGAATTACAAAATTTAAAGGCAGTTGAATCAAGTGATCAGTCTGTGCATTCTGTTTAAATAAATGTCACTTTTGTTAATCTTATAAATTAACTGAATTCCCAAAGAAATTTTTTTATATCGCAAGTATGAGATGGATGGAATTAGGAATTAGTTGCAAAGAGGTAGTTTTACTTACGCCAACTCTCGGTTGTCCCGGTTTCCACTTGTCTGCTCCAAAAACGTCTATATCTTTATCCATAAAAAAATTTAACGTCTATAAAATGAAGATTCTATAATATTACATGACTGCTATATAAGTGGTCTCAATTAGTGGTAGCATAAATTCAACAGTTTCACAAAATAATTTGAAATTACTTGATGTTTTGTTTTACCTTATAGTTTGGATCACGGCAGTCTGCAACATCCATTGTGCCTGCTTTGATTTCTGGTAGTGCTTCAGCCTATAAAAAGTAGGCTGACAAATGTTGAGTATTAAAATTATAATCAGTAAACTGAATTCGTTGTAGTCCTCAACAAATGTATTAAGGATTTGCTATTAGATGAGCTGAATCTGTTTGCGATTTATAGATTTTATAAATTGGATTTGACTACTCTTTTAAGCTCGTTTTGATTTTAAAAATTTACAGTTTT